CTGGACCACGGAGGAACTACATAGTACCCTCTTTCTCTGGAGGGATTGCACATGCAGGCATGAATATATCCAGAAGATTTGAAAATAATGGTTGTCAGGATAGCCCAGCAGAGTTGCAAATGTGCCTGGAAGCAATGCCCCATGCTTATTACTGTTAGGCACTCTTGTCTTGGAAAACTCAAATTTCAGAAACCCCTTTGCAGAGAGTTCATGGCTGAGCCTGTAATAGTACATAACGTCTCCTCAGGGATGCTGAAAAACTCATCACCAGCCAGAGAGCAATCAGTCTTTCAACCACAAGGATCTGACTGATGAGCCTGGAAGAACAGCAATGAGGCTTTATTTCAACCTGTCAGTAAGCCATTCCACTATTCATAAGCCAAACTTTTCTGACACAATTTATGGGACTGGGAAACAAAAGGAAGATTGGGTACAAAGGACAGAGTGTCAGGGAGCAGCGAGGGTCAGCTTCTCCTGAAGGGACAGGGAGCTGGGAGCCAAGCTCAACACCATGTCTGGCAGGGCAGGGGCTGGGGAGTGGCAGCTGGGGTCAGCCTGGAGCCCAGATCATCACCTAAGTCCATAGTGGTCTTGCAGGTCTGAGGGCAAGCCATGAAGTCAAGCCAGAGGGTCAGGATCAGGATCAGGTTAGGTGATAGCAACTAGGGTCAGACACAGCTCAGCGTAACCAGACAAATCCATGGTGACAAGGCAGGTCGGAGCTGAAGCTGAGAAGTCACACGGTACTCCTCTGCTATTCACAGCTTCTATTATGAGTATTATAAGAGAGTTATAAAAGTTTCAAAGTTCAACATTGGCTAAGAGAAAAGTCTGATGGACATGTAGCTATGCCTGTAGGTAACACACACAGAGAACTCCAATCTGTCAGAAATGGAGGAATCAGCAGTGTAAGTTTCTAACAGGAGTCACCGGAATGAAAGATGGCTTGACTCCTGAGGACATATGTAAATTGCAGAACAGATATAGTCCACCGTCCTGGTTACTTTGGTTTCTCACCGTGTTCCCGACCTGCATTCTTCGCCAGCTTTTATTCTGATGGAAATCATAGTGCAGGGAGATCAAATGTGAGAACAAGATGGTGAGGCAACATTCAAGTCTCATTCCAGGAACCAGAATGTACTTCTCAGGCCAATGGGCTGGAAAGAGCTCCTCATTTTACCTTCTTATCTCCTGCCTGTTCTTCCAGCTAATCATCATAAAGTCTAATGAGTAAGATCAATATCAGCAATGGGGGATTAAAGCAGGCGGTTGTCTTATATAGGACAGTGTAGAGGCTCACATGGTTGTGATGCAGACACCTTCAGCATAGCTAGCATATTTGCTAGGAAGGCCCATTTAAATTTACAACAGGGGCTTATGGAATAAGCATCATTAGTTGGTGTCCCAGAGAGTGGGCAGCCTGGACACCTTGATGTTGCACGGATAGCGTGCAGCTGTGGTGCAGGTGGGCTCTGACCTTGAAATAGCCCTGAGATTTTTAAAACTGTGAGTGGCTTTGTGGTTAAAAGTCAGTGGAACTTGGTCAATTTACTTCAGAAGAAAGAGGGTTTCATCCTGTGATCCCAGGGTTTGAGCCTTTCCACTTGCATGCTGAGTATTTTTTGCTTGAAAGTTCAATCACCATTTCCAATGGGAAGTGTCCAAAGCCAGGGAGTAAATCCCCACCTATCGCTCTCAGTAATTACCTTCTTGTCAGAGGAGTGTTTTTAAATCCTGTTTCAACTCTTAGACGCTGAGCATCCACCTTTTGGCTAAGGTTTAAAATTTCTAACCTTTCTCAGGGGGTCTTAAGACTGAAAAACTCAGAAACATCACTCAGGAGTAACAACCCACCTTCGATAAATCAGGGCTTCACTGGATATTTCACAACTTACCTATGCCAATGTTAAATTCATGAGGTGCTGCTAACCTATATAAGCAAGAACATTTTCTGCTATGAACATTTCTTCACAGTAACACAAGTGTATGTAGTTTGCAAGTCCAGTGCTGTAAAATGTATTCAGATAGGCATATCTTAGCTAATTATAAAAATCTACCCTTGTGCAGAACCATATAGCTACATCAGTCAGGTTTTCTATTTTATGGTTATATACAATTATTTCCACTAAAGACATATTCAGTTAGAGGTATTTTAGAGATATGACTCCATGATTGACAACTAATTAATCAATTTGTTTCTGTGTTAGATCAAGCTAAACTTCTCTCTACAGCTACGAGTGAGTTTCCTATAAACTTTCATGGCAGTGCACACATTATACCAGCTGTCATATATGTACGATTTTGCATCTGTAGCCCTTAATAAAATTATTAGCCCCATTGGCTGATATTTTTAGGTGGGGTGTGACAAGGGGAAAGTTAGATCATAAAAGCAAAAGCAAAAAAACATAAGAAAAGAAGACAGTTTCATTTTTTTTGTTGGTTTTTTTTGGTTTTTTTACTAGCAGTGATAAAAAGAATGGGATAATATGAACATAATCTCTATAACTTTGTTAACACTTAAATGTTATGAAGATTTACTCAAAATCAGAGAAAGTCAGCAAAATTACTCAGTAAGTTATGAGTGGAAATATTTTCTAGTTACTCTGCAACTAACATTAATGGGATGCTGTTTACAAAATTGCAAGAGAAGGTTCCTGCCATATTTTCCATATATTCATTAACCCTGATGCAATCAACAGATTTTTAGGACTAGGTATGGTCATTGTAATAGTTTAGTCAAATTCCTGACTAAAACCCCTTTTGCCAGCAAAACAGTGCCACAGAATTTTGCCTTTGAGCCAAACAACGTGCAGGTCTGATGAAATGTATCTCTGACAAAAATGTGTGAGATCAAAAGGGAGCACAGGGATTTACAAATTTGGGGCATCTATTGAGCAGTCGCCACAGGCTAAGTCCCTGTGTCAGGGCTGGAATAAGAATTTTTGCCATTCTACAGATTTATAAGAAATGGCACTTTTAAAGAGTGAATCCCTTTTTCCCTACCTGGCTCAGGTAGGAGACTCTTCCACTTCACCAGATTCAGTGAATATTTGTGTTAATGGGGGATTTTTCAGAGATGTTATAGCTGCTTGGATTTCCAGAAGGAAATAATCAGTCATCAAAGTCTTCTCAAGAAATTAAGCAGCCGTGGGCTAAGGGGGAAGGAACAGGCATAGAGAAGAACTGGCAGGAGTAGGAAGGAGAAGTGGGGGTGCACAGTCACTTCTTGCAGTGGGAGGTCAACAGAGAGTTTCACAGAAATGCTGGGATCTGTGCTGTTCCTAAATTGCTTGGGAAAAGGGGTAAGCAATGACCAATGTTTGCAGCTCATATGAAGTCACAGCTCTCATGAAGATAGAAAGAACAGAGGCTAAATACAGCGAACTGCAGAAAGGATTTAGATGACTGAGTGACTGAGTAATAACATGGCAGATGAATTTCAATCTAGATAAATGCAAAATGATGCAGATAAGAAAAAAGAAATGGGCTATAAGCTGATCATTATCACCCAGGAGTGAGATCTTTGGGTTGCGACAGACATGCTTATGAAAATGTGTCCTAGTTTCAGCTGGGATAGAGTTAATTTTCTTTCTAGTAGCTGGCATAGTGCTGTGTTTTGGATTTAGTACGAGGCTAGTGTTGATAACACCCTGATGGTTCAGTTGTTGCTGAGCAGTGCTTACACCCGTCAAGGACTTTTCAGCTTCTCCTGCTCTGCCAGGTGCACAAGAAGCTGGGAGGGGGCACAGCCAGGACAGCTGACCCCAACTGGCCCAAGAGCTATTCCAGATCATAGGACATCACGCCCAGGGTGAGTTGGCCAGTGGCAGCAATCGTTGCTTGGGACGGGCTGTGCATTGGTCAGTGGGTAGTGAGCAATTACATTGTGCATCACTGGTTTTGTATATTCTGTATATTCTCTTACCATTACTATTATTAATTTTTTTTTCTTTTCCTCTGCTGCTTTATTAAACTGTCTTTATCTCAGCCCATGTGTTTTACTTTTTTTCCGATTCTCTCCTCCATCCCACTGAGGGAGGCGAGGAGTGAGAGAGCGGCTGTGTGGTGTTCAGCTGCCTGAGGGGTTAAACCATGAGAAAATGTTAGCTCAGTGCTTAGCATCTGTCCAAAAAAAGAAAAAAAAGTAGTGAGTCAAATGTTAGGAATTATTAGAAAAGGGTTTGAGAACAAGAGAGAAAACAATTATATTGTTGTATAAACCCATTGTTCACTGTAACGTTGAAGCCTTTGCATGGCTCTGCTCTCTCATCTTGAGCAGGGACTGACAGAACCTGAAGAGACTCATAGAGTGGAAGCAAAGATGACCAAAGGTTGCTTTTGTAAGAGAAATGACTGAGCAGGCTGTGTTGGGGGAGCATCAGAAGGGGGATGCTCCACAAGGAGAGGTGAGTAGGAGCCAGAGAGGGACAGAACGGGACAGTGTCCTCCTCAACAAGGTGCAGTCCCAGAAGAGCTAAACAGGCTTGGTGACAATAACCAGGGTCAGTCACAGTCAGGTTCTGATGAGTTGGCCAGCTGTGCAGTCAGGCAGAGCCTGGGGTTAGGGGAAGGAGGTTTCAGGACCTACTGGTGCACACAAGGTCCAGAGACCCAGAGATTCCTTCTTCATCCTGGAGAACAGGGGATACAGTAGACAGCTACACAGTCCTGATGGTATGGAGAGAAAGAATCTAATGTTTGAGGTCTCCTCCACCAAATGATATCATGGGTAATCAAGTTCAAAAGAAACAAAAGGAGGTGGTTCTTCATGCAGCAGGCAACAGACCTGCTGATCCCTTTTGAAGGGCATTGTGGATGCAGTAAGTTTCAGGGGTTCAAAGGGCAACTGGATTAACATTTCAAGGATAAATCTGTTACAAGTCACTAGAGAGGTGAAACACTACAGATTTAGGAAGTCCCTTGGGAGGGTAGAGGGGGGAAATACAGTATATGCTTTTTCTATCCCCATGAACTTTTGGACAGCATTTGTCACTTCTTTTTAGGAGAAAGAATAAACACAACCCCCCTTCACCACAGATTATGCAGCTGAGCTTCTTATATTTGACGAAGTCAGAAGAGCCAGCACACCCAGAGAGCAGGAGTTGAGCCTCACACTGGGGAAATCGCCTTCCTGGCGATGATGTCCCACCCGCAAAGAAGGCCAGAGAGAAAAACGCCAGCTCGGTGAACCTTTGACCTGAAGCTCTATAGTTATTCTTACATTCTTCTCAATTGAGTTGTTGACCTGTTTCATATATGCTATTTAGGATGAGATAAACTCCTTCCTCCTTTATTAGAAAAGCCACTTAGGGTGACTAATTTAGATGTACTTGCCTACTTTTCATCAAATGAATCTGTGTTTGCTCAAATATCCTTTCAAGAATGGATTATGGTCTCCAGATGTGGCTCTAAGAAACGCCTTCTACTAGTTCATATCCTCCATAAAGACTCCTGCCCCTTCCCCTCTTTGTCACAACAAAACATGTTAAAATTAAGTTGGGAAGCACACCCTCATTCATCTCCTATTCCACTGCCAATTAAAGGGCTAAACTGATTGTAATCTAGTTTTGGTATCTGTATAATTCCTATTTACTGTACATTTTTATTAATCTTAACCAGAACACCATATACCGCCAGCTTCACTGACATGAAGTGCATCTTTACTGTAAACTGACTTTCTAGATTGTTCACTAGTACCTGAGTAATGGAATATTGAATCCCATGTACATAATGAATGTATTCTTAAATTATTTGGTTTGAGTTTCTTTTTTCACTAGGAATTATTATTTTCAATATGATTAAAGAAAATAATCATCATGACACAAAACAACTGAAATAGCCATGCACCTTCAGTGACGCAGTAATGCAGATGGTATGAACTGGAATAATTAGCCCAAGGAGACTTGATGGCACGTGATAAGCCACTAAAGTCATGTTACATGACATCACTGTCCTGAGGTGAAGAAATGACAGACTATTACATTTCACACCAACTGATTAGTGATGATTTAGTGCCAAATCATTATTCTAAACAAGACACATGTCGCATATAGAACATTCTAAAGAACTATGACTTTCAATGCACAGGGAAGGGGAATGAGGGATTGGAGCAATAACCTATATACAAGTAACGCATTTTTACATCATTAGCAAAACCAAAACAAATATTCTGTTTGTATAAGCCTATGAATAGTGAAAGAAACAGTGATCGTGTCATATCTATCAGACTTGAGCTGAGTTGAATCATCCTACCTGATCTGAGAGCTGTCTGCACTGGATTTCCTGTTGCTAAAGCAACAGCTAAGCTAGCTGTAAAATGAATGGACAAAATAATCCATAGGCAGTTTAAAGTATTATGTGCATTTTTATCCTTACTGTATGCCACACACACAAACATATATTTGAGTATGCTTTGCCAAACCAACAGCAAATTCTTATGCTATGAATGTATACATAGGGTAATTGTGACTCTGAAATATGTTTTTGCAAAATATTTCTTAAGTAGTTCAATTTGTAGAATTAGAAGTTATTATGAAACAGCTGTGCTAACTGAAGGTAATTTATATAGATGTGATCCTGGGGAATAATCAGGGATTGAGTAATCCTATTTGAGATCTTTAGAATGTTTTCCAATCTAGACAAAATATGTATGTTTTATCCCCATGTAACAGTTCCAGCTGAGATAACAGACATGTTATAGATGTTGTACATCCTGAGCAGGACACGGCTCCTCCCCAAAGACCATGCACTCCAACTAGACAAGGCAGGTGACATTTGGGAATAATACTGGGAATGCTCATCCAGTAAAGTAACATATCAGTGACAGAAGCAGAAAAGAATGCTGAATTAGTGGACGCCAGAAGTGTTTTTACTAGGCTCAAACACCACAGAATCTTTCACAACCTGGAAGAACAGTTGTCACTGTAAAGGAAAATGGAATTTAAGGTGCTGGGAATCAGCTCACCTTGTGGATTTAAATAGATTTCCAGCCCTAAACAAGGGCATGGGTTAGACACGCACTTCTTGGAAAGGAAGTGTGGCAGCAGAGGGAACAGTCAGAGGTGGAAGTGAACAAAGTTGACCAAATAGAGAGAACAAAGTTCTCAGGAGGGCTGAAAAGTTCTGCTTCCATAGTCTAAAACAGCACAGTTTTCTGTTTCTCTTTTTGGATTTGCTGCTTGGCTGGGAATTGCCTTGATCTTCTGTTGGACTGCAAATAAAGTCTGAGAGATTTTGCATGACAGTGACGCTGGTACTCACTGTCCTAAATAGCAGGAGGCAAGAGAACCTAATGCTAACTCTGCTGCCCTCATATACTTTCTGGCATCCCATGTTTGGCCAGTGGAATTTATTTTCATTCTGACATTTCATTTACAGCTAGTAAAGGCAGGAAAAGTTTTGGTTTACTACTGAAGAGTTAATAGTGCTATGTAGCAATCTGTTTTATGATTTACAGTACTTTCAGATGACTATTTAATTCTGTTGTTAAATACTTACAAATAACTACCATTAATAAGCCAATGTCAGTGCAGATACATATACAGGCAATTATAACTTATAAATTGCATACTATTTATATATTTATATCTCATTTATAAGCTGTGTAAAATAAAATACATACAGATATGTAAAATACAATACATATTGAAACAAAGAGATAGGAAGTGATTTAAGTGATTAATTAAAAATTGCCCATGTTACCTTCCTTTTAGTTCCTAATGTATCCAGCTCTGTTAGAATCTCTTTCTCCTCTTAGGTGAAAGAAAGAAAGAAAGGAAAGAAAATTAATTAGGATTATTTTATTCTTTTTAGACTACACATGTGGGCTTTTTTCCTTTAAAAAAAATCAATAAAAATAAAATAGGGCACTTCTCTTCTTCTCCATGAATCGTTATCCATGTTGTAACAGTAAATCTCTAGCACTTGCTGCTGTTGTTTAATTTACAAGACTATCAATGTTAGCCTGCAACAGCAGCCAGAATTTTATCAGCAAATGGCAAAAGGTCTTCTACACTCTTGAAATCATTGGGAAATGACCTATGAAGTGTTCCAACTATTTCCATTTTTTAACTTAAAGTTGAATAAAATAAATTCATAACAGTGCCAGCTTCTCTCCACAATCTATAAAGACATCTTAGACAGACTAACATAGATTAATCCCTTCTTGCCTGCCTTTCTCCTTCCTGTTCTCTCATAAGGAAGTTGGGATACAGAAACACTTCTTCCCAGAGTGATACCACCAAAGAGAAGGAAAGGAGGAAGTATTATGTGCAGAATGTGGCAGGAGCAAGTTTTTTAGTTCTGTTACATTTCCTGCTTCAGCAATTCATGAACATGAATGCCGGCGTGGGTTTATGCAATTCTCTTAGACTGCAAGTCTAGTCTTTTTGGATGTTCATTTTGGCAGGCTACAAAATATTTCTAGAGAAACTTAGGCAGGAAAAGGTAATTTTAAAAATAATTTATAACTCAACTTGAAAAAAAAGAGGCAAATAAAAGTATTTCCTTACCACCTTGGCAGGTTTCTTCCTAAGGTTTCCTCTTTATGATAGAGAGCAATGAGTGGTATTTCTGTGACACAGACATATACGGGCTTGCCAAATTTGTACTTAATATGCCCCTTGAGACAAGAATTTGACGACTGTCAGTCAAACAGGATTTTTTTTTTTAATTATCACAAAGTATTATCCTTGCTCTTTCTAACTTGAAACATATTGCTCATTAAAAAAAAAAAAAAAACCACACATCAAAAACCAAACAAAAGACCCCACCAAAAATCCCCCAGCAATGACAAAACACTCCTGGCTTGAGAACAAACATGCCACACTTCAGCCTTAAAGGTAAAGTGATGGTGGTGTTAATAAAAATAAAAAATGTCTCTTTAGGAAGAAGGGTGCAAACTACTTTCAGAATAAATATAGGTTGGTATTCCATATAGCTAACACAGTTATTTACAGTAAACAGGATTTGTTTGGAGTCATTCTGATTTGTGCTACCTTGCCTCTACAAAACAAAAAATACACATTATCTTATTTAAAATGAGCATGTATTTAAGAAACTAAATCATCACTAACATTGGTAATATAATAGAGCTCAGAGTCCAGAAGAAATCAAGATCGTACTGTATTAGGCACTGAAAAATATTTTAGGGAAAAGTCAGTAGCTGGAAGAGTTTCCAACTGGAACAGAAAGCAGAGATTCTTATGGAGAAGTGAATAGATGTGACATGCAACCAGAGTATGGGACAACCACAGGAATACAGAAGGGCTGAGCTTGGAAGGCACCTCTGGAGATCACCTAGTCCAACCCCCTGCTCCAAGCAGGGTCACCAACAGCAGGTTCCCCAAACATGTCCAGTCAGACTTTGAATATCTCCAAAGATATTCTCTACCTGCCTCTAGCGTTTGACCATCCTCACAGTAAAAAAGGTTTTTTCTTATATTCAAATGGAATTTCTTGCATTTTAACGTGTGCCTGAAGAACAGCCTACAGATCTGCTCTAGCAACTTCATTCCATTTTCTAACTTGGTGGGGGAAGGAGTGGGATTTTGTTGGCAGGCAGTTCACTAAATGGAAACAAAAATACCAAAAGGGATGGTAGTGTCACGAAGCTGTATTTAAAAGACCTATGAAGCTGAAGAAAATGGCAGTGAGAGAGATTGTCCTTTATGACTTCAACTAAAAGCTGGCAGGTGGCTGCTATGCCCACAGGCCCTCAGATAGGTGTCTTTCCCTTCTCAAGCCATTGCCCAGAGGAAAGCAGGAGATCATGCAATGACCATGACATCCTTAGAAAAGACAGGGAGAAATCGGCTCTGCATAGTCTTGGTGCTAGACAAGGATATGGACCTAAATGGACTCTACTATTTACTGGGAGGCCATTCACCTGTATTTTTTGAGGACTGCACTTGTGGAGAGGTGCACTGAAGGGGACATGCCTTCTCTGAGTTATAGGTGTACCTGCCTCAGCAGCTAAGGGCAAAGTCTGCAGTGGGTTCTCCCACCTGATCATTTCTGTAGACATCTATTATTTCACGATCTACATTTGTCTCTAGATTTGCAAAGAAAAAATGTCTCTGTTCTTACAAAATGCAAATGTCTCTGAGGAAAGTAAAGTAGATGAGGGAGAAAACTCTGAATATCAGGAAAAAAATTTTTAGTGTG